GGGGGGGCACCCGCCGGGGCCAGGGCCTGCGACACTCCATCTCACCACTCGCCCGTTTCAACAGAAAAAGAAAAAAAAAAAAAAAAGCCAACCCTTAAAAAAAAAATGAGGGGAAAACAAGTCACTCCTCAAGGAGTGTTAATTCCCTCAAGGGAATTAAGTCACGTGTGGAATAACTGAACCATAGTATAAAACATATAAACCCTTAGTCAGAAGTAAGTGCATTGTGTTTATTGCTACAGTGCTGATGTAAAGGTTTTTTTGTTCTAATAATTGCCAACAAGTCATTTATTTCATTGACATTTAAAGTCTCCACAACAATGTAAAATATTTAAATTATTACTGTTCTACACTGCCAGAAGGTTTGGATGCATGAAGCCAAACAGAGGTGGTGTTAATGCTGTAGAAATGCATCTTATCTGTATTACTTTTAGCAGTTCGCTTAATTTTTTTGCTACACAAGTGCAAATAAAGATACAATTGCTGTTTTCCCCAAGTATTTGAAATCAGGTGCTAATTTACCAATTATAAGGTTTCCTACTTGAAATGTATACATAGTTCAGACAAAGATTTGAAGTAACATGGATCTATGTATATTTCAACATAATAATCCCAACCTTTATTAAAAATGCAGCTGAACACTAACTGTTATCACAGCAGCAGACTAAACAGAACCTCCCTTACTAATCGCTTACAAGAAGGTTTCTTCTTCAGAAAGACAAAGCTCTTAAAATCTATTTTAAAGTGTAATGTAAGCCATAAATGTTGTAGACCATATTTCTATGCCTTAAATATTTTTTATAGTTATGGTGGGTTAACAGTCACAGAAAAAATGATCTAGCCTTGATTTAAACAGTGAATGTATTTGGAAAGACTGGGCCAGCAATTGCTTATGGAGCAGATGTGACCTATGAGAAAGCATATGAAACTCAAACTGATTTTCAAGCACAGAGGTTCATGGAAGTCCTTTCAAGTTCTCAAAATCCTGGACTAGCATCTCCAGTGTATTTAAGATTTCAGTCCATTTTTCCAGCGACCTTCACAGCTGCAAATTCTGGATATCCTGATAAGCTCTACCTATGAAGAATCAGTGCCTAGACTGCTATCAAATACACCCTGCACATCACAGATCTTCCATTCAAATTTCTCATAAGCTGTACACATACACATTTCATTGGCAGGGTCGGCCGAAACAGGAGTCGGCACAGCTTTGTGCAGCTATGCAGGATGCTTCAAATTATGGAGCCCTGAAAACAGGGAAGTTTGCTACCCGGTGATACAGACAATTCAGCAGGACACCGCTTCCCACCACTTGTAAAGTGCTCTTTAGAATTAGATATACTTTATGCTACAAGGTAGGTTGTTGCATTCATAGCCACAAAATCCCTACAAATTTCTTGGGCCTTTCAGTTCTCCTTTGCATGATAGGGAATGAAGGTGTTCAGGCCTAGTAAAGAAGAAACAAAATGTATCTGTGTGCAGCTTGTGCAGGTCAATAAAGTGACCAAGCAATCAATATGATAATTAATCTTACAAAAAGCCAGACTAGACTATGAACTTTGGCTGTTATTTTAAACTTTGGTGTTATTTTAGATCCGATTAAACTATTTTGAATATTGAATTGTACTTTGGAAATGGTTTTAGGCTTTGTGCTAAGTCAGTACCTGATGGCTTGCTGTATATTTTTGCTAAGTTAATTCAATCAGGAAAAGGCAAATGGTATTTCTGTGAGAAAAGGTCTTCCCTCAGGTGCAATATCAAGGACAGCAACAAAAATCCTGACTATATGAGCTGATAGCAATCTCCTAAAATAATTAGGACTTCATGCAACAGCTCCATATCTCTGCCTTATACTAGAAGCATGCCAAACAGCACATTTGCAGTTTTGGGGGGGAAAGAATGATCCCTTTCAAAGCAAGATTTGACCCCTCAATTTTACCATGGTGAACCTCCAGCTGTTTGTGTCCTGATGCCTGTGTTGTAACCATTCAAGTTTTAAACTTAGTAGCACAGACTACTATAGCTTCTACGCCATAAACTCTGCAACGCTGTAAAATCAGTAGCGTAGTACTAGAGTCAGACATTTCCCTGTGGCTAATTATTCCTTTAGCGCCTCATAAGCCACCTTCTGCAGCATCTGATCCCAGCCCTGATCCACAGACCACATTTCTGCTCCAGTCTAACAATTTCTCTGCTCCCCCACTAGCTTCTCAAAGGCAACTCCAGGCCTTTTTTTATCCAAGGGGGATAGAGGAATATGTTCTGTAAGGGACTTTACACAGAGAAACAAGATAAAGTGATTATCCTTATGGACTATTCACTCTTCCATTTGTAAAGGAAAGAGTTCTGCATACAACACATGCCTAGAAAGAAATCAGTAGGGAAAAGAAAAGAGTTGCTGAGTGCACCACACCACCACAGGGCTGTTAAACTTCCAGCTGTTTGCCCATCTTGCTGAGGGCATCGCTGACAATGTCCAGCTCATGACGTAGTTCATTCACCACAGTGGCAATGCTCTTCGTGTCTTTCAGGATCTGCACGCTTTGAGTATATGGATTGTACTTCACGCCAAATGGGCGCTTGATGGTTTTTGCAAACTCTCTGTTCAAGTAAAAAAGAGAGGGAGTTATAAACAAAACACAAATGCATCCGCTGTATGTCGCCAGTACCAATAAAGAAAGTAAGTAGCTTTGAAAATTGTTTAAAATAGATGTAATTGTTATATAGGGTTCATCATCTTTCCCACCCAGCACATGGAAGACCAAGCAAATACTAACCTCAGCTTTCCAACCCCATGAAAGATAATTATAAAAATGTGACAAGAATGAAAGAGTTTGGTGCTGCTACTGAGAGATGCACGAAATCACACCTGCTTTTGTAAAACAGGGAAGAAAATCTGTACCTCATCTTTTCCTTTGCTTCTTCAAAACTTTCAGAAACAAAGTAAACCTCCTGGAAAGTTGTAATAAGGCATTCTTGCTTGCAGGTGACCTTTGGATCAAAAGGCTTGACTTTGGCACTGCCAGAGAGCGAGTGCTGGTAACATAATGTGTTATCATGTGTCAGAGGAACATCACCACCCAAAGAATCCGTGAGAAAGATGACATGAAGCAGAGTGAATAAAAAAAAGATTAAGTGAGACCATATTTAGTGTATCGCTTCTTAAAATTTTTCATCTGCAAGACAAACAGCAGTTAAAGCTTAACACACAGAGTAACTCTGAATGGTCATATTCTTGCCAATATGAGTCAAAAAAGGGATTCCTCAGACACGAGGCTCATGTGTAAACAAGAGCAATGCTTTCAGAATCTGGTTAAACCAGCAAGACCTTTATTCTGAAAACAGTTATTTGGAACCCAATGTTAAGAAATAGCAGTCATCTAATGCTTTCTGTGAAAGACACGGGAGATGCTCAGCATATATCCAAAAGCAGACTGTCCAGTAATTATTGCCACAGTGAATTTGCTTAAAGTCTAGTAGGTATCTTGGAGTTTTCAAAAGAAAGATTTTTAGAATTATACTTCATAAAAAACAGGGCAAAACAGTGACAATAATAAACAGGAACAAACAAAGAAAAGAGTTAAATAAGCAGTAGATATTCTTACCTTGAGCTCACTAATCGAAGAGAGCAAGCCAGCCCCATAAACTCGTAGCTGTCCCTCTTGCTTACACAAGCCAAACTCTACAGTGAAGAAGTAGCACTGAAACAGAGAAGGGAGTAAAATAAATCAGCCTTCAGCAAAGACGCTGCAGTGAACTAGATGGGGACATTTCTATCTGTACGTAGTGTCAAACAGTAGCAAGTATCAGATAGTCATCACTTGTTCATCCTTCTCGGATATTTGAAGAGGAAGGAAGCCAGAATGGAAAGGTGAAAAACCACAGGATTGCATGTTTCTCATAAGAAACATTGATATTATAGATGACCCAGCTAGGCTAGAAGCTGTTAATGTCAGTAGGAACATGGAGATGTAAATCTGTTTTCAGAAGTATTGTCATGACATGACATCTTCAGCTTAACAGCAACACTGCATTGAGAGGATCTCTGAGTGTGTGAAAATATCAGCCCTTTTACGGTTTGTTCCTCACTTGCTTAGTGGCCTGTAAAATTCAAGATGCTTAGTTTGCTGGATTTCAGGATTTCTGCATGGCGTTCTTCATGGGGAAGAACACTGTTTTCATAGATGGATTAATTCTGCTCCCACTATGGTAGCAGAAATTTTAACCCTAGCTACACCACATGGGAAAAAAAAAATTTAAAGTATCAGCAAACCAGTTCTTTCATATCTGGTATCAATTATTTTTCACCTGCATTTAATTTTAAGATTATAATATTTTTGCCAAAGCATCCAGAAACTGATATCCAGGAAATAAGATTAATTTATATTGTTTTAATTTCCTATCTGAAAAGTATCTAATGCAATGAAGACACCGTATCATTTCAAATCATCCTACACATTAAAGAAAGAGATTATTTTTAAAATCATTGAATCGTGTTTCCAGAAGTAAAAAGATTTTGTTTGAAGAAAGAGACTGTAGCATTTCAGTCTGGAAGAAGTGATCTACCACCAGAAGTTGCACCCTTACTTGACAGCCACGTGAAGAAAAATACCAATCATATCAACCTTAAAATTAATTTTGTTCCTAGCATGGAAAATTGTTATATGCTCTAAAAGCCAAGAGCCAGTGAAACACATAGGTCTAGCAGCTGGTGTGGCTAATGTTGACATGAAGCTCCACATTTATTCGATGAGGTGGGATTGGCCTAGTAAAGCACGAAGCTTTCAATGGGATCACCAGGCACTGAAACACTCACTGTTGCCAGCTTTTGGACAGCCTCATCTGATGCCCCAAGTGATGCAAGACCAATTTCCTGGGAGAACTGAGCAAAACTAGGTTCAGCCAAAAGAGGGACGTGGCCTAGGAGCTCATGGCAGGTATCACTGGAAAAAGAATCAAAACAAGAAATCTCATGATCTGTCTTTGTGGTAGAATGAAAAAGCAGCACCACTGAACAGATACAATGTTTTGTGTTAAATTATGTAATATCCAGAAGTCAGAAAAGTGTCAATCATGTCTAGCTGAAAGCAATTGAGCAGGTCATACCAGCTCTACATAAGCACTTAAACTCAGATTTTCAAATGAAGCTGTCTGAAATGAAGATCTGAGCTCTACATTTATGAAGCAATTGAATATTAAACTAACTGCGCACAAAGATATCAGTAAGAGTTCTCCATTAAATGCTGTACTTAGGAAAGTGGCACTTGAGCATGCTAAAACTTCATTACATTCACTGTGAAGGCTGAGTCTTCAGCACCTTAAAAATAAGTTTTCTTGCTGGTGTTCTTGAACAGCTTTTAAGTAGCTTGGCTCTGGGCAGCGAGATTCAAAACTCTCTCAAATTCTACCCCAAGATTAAATGACTCACGGCTCTGGTGTATAGAGAGGGTCCGAGCTGTGTCTAACATATTGAGTGCAGTGAAAAACTCTAAATGCCAATCCTGCCAAGAAGTCTCTGGGTGACAGGTATCCAGCAACGGGGCGAATGGTGAAACCTGTGCGCTCTGAAAAGGAACGGAGAAATTGTACATTAGTTTAATGTAGAATTGCACAATGTTGTCTCCTTTCCTGCTACAACTGGGGTAAAAGCCACAGCACTACTTTGGCTCAAGAGCACGTGGGAAAATTAGGCACAGTTAGAAAAATTAGGCCTAAGCTTGAGAACAACCAACATTTAGTAAAAGTGTCTCTACCTCTGTGTCAGTGGATTTCCTATGGTTTCATGCTTAGAGCCAACATAATACAACTAGGTGTCTCTTCAGCCAATTCTAGCAGTCTCTTCAGAGGTAGCATTGCCCCTCAAATATCACTGTTTGTATATATTCAAGACACAATACATGAAAACACCCATGGCCAAAAGGCTTCTTAAGGACCAGAAAGAATACAAGCAAAAGTGACCAAGGATGTTCTCTCGTGCCCACAAAATAGCAGTGCTATTTGCAATGGACATTAGTTCCTTTTTGTGTAAGAAAATTAGCACATTACCTTTCAGGAAGCGGGACACATCTTCCAGCTGGGGGATATTGTCTTCCCTGTAACCACAGTATTTGGTGAGCAAGGGTAAGTTTTTAAGGTACTCTCTGCAGGCATGAGTTGGGTAAAGCTTGTTAAGCTCTCGGTAAACGGTCCCCCAGGTCTTGATCTCCTCCTCAGTGAATTCAATCCTGGGAATTGGGTCACCACTACAACGAGAAAAGGAAGAAAGGACACTCCTTGATAAGTGACTAGTAACAGATGACTCATTTACCTACTATTATTATTTAACATCTATACAGCTGTGACACCTGGTCAGGGTGCATTAGGCACTGTCAAATACACAGTGAGATCTGGTCTATGCCCTGGAGAGCTTTTAGTCTAAGAGCTTGCCCTCTTTTCAGCCTAAATCAACTGAGAGGAATCTTTGCATTGACCTCACTGGAGCCTGAAAGCTTCAGTTCTGTAAAAAGTTTCTTAGGTATTTAATGCTGAGAGTAACATTTAAAATACCTGCATAACCTTTACAGCTTCAGGAGCTGAGAACACATCCTTTTCCTCGTTGGCCTTCCCTGTCTGCACTTACTTTCCATTACCTTTTTGATTTGTTTTAGAAAAAGAGAATTCCTAAATTAACAACACATTCTGTGGAAGGAGCTAAATATACACATTAGGCAAAAATCATACTTCTACGCAGAGGAGACAAGCATCTGCCTGAACATATTAATTGTAGTCCATCTCTCCTATCTAGCACTCAGGGTCTTGATTAAAGTGGATTATAGCAACAGTGTGACCTAAAGCCCACTGAAAGCAATGGGAGTGTTACGTTGACCTCCACTGCCAAACAGGTAACCAGCATGGCGGGTGCTTTCCCAAAGGAATCTCTGTCAACAACATTAACAGTAACCAGTTCTGTACTGTGGCAACCAGTTGTATTAACACACAGTGCAACAGAGCTCTAGATACCTACAATTTCTAGGTCATTTCCAATTGAAGAACTTGGCATCTAAATTCAAGCAGGCAACAGCAACATGAAAATTACGTTCAGAAAGACTTTACAGCACTGGGCTATGAAACTCTTGCTGCTTTAAGAGCTCTCTCTCCCTCCCCCAAGCAGCATCTCTAAAGACAGAAGCTCTTCAAGTTTCTTTTCACAGAAAACTTCTTATCTACACATCACATGCACTACTTTGAACCAGGAAAGAAAACTCGAGTATTAACATTTGTCCAGAGAGTTTACACTCAGTGGTCAATGGGCCATATATTGGGTTTTGCCTCGCCTCCCTCTCCTTCGCAAAGGAGACCCATCTGCCCTAGTCAAGTTAGTACATCCTGGCACAGGCAGCTGTGCAACAGGCATTGTTCACCCTCTTCTTTTGTTGCACCCATTTCCAGAGAAGCCGAGAGGGACTGCAGAGTCCAGATGCACAACACTGCAGGAAGCCCACGCTGGCATCGCTGCACATCTGAGGAGCAGCACTGCACAGATGCCGTAACGGCCGAGCAACCACAGCCTCAGATTGATCAGAGGCCTGGGGAACTGCAAGACAGCCTAGATCTACCTTTTAATCTTGTCTTACATCTCCCTTTGTTTTACCCCTCCAGCTCCGATTCCCAAGTCAAGCATGTCTCAGCACGATCTGAGCCCAGGGAAGGTGAGCTTCTGCCAGTCCACTCTTGCTATTATTTCAAGGCACCCAGAAGGCTTATTCTGGAAGAAGTCAAACTTACTGTTTGTAGTTCATAGCCAGGTCTGCAAAATACTTTCGCCTCTTGCGATAGACATTGTCTTTGAAACCCTGGCAGAGGGAAGGAGAAAAAACAAAGTTAAATGAGTTTCCAAGCTTTAGTAAATTAATTTAAAACAAGACACTCAAAATTTCTTCAGTTCAGAAATATAAAAGTATGCTGCGTAAGAATGAGAGGACAGGGCAGGAACCTCATAGCTGTGGTCTGAAATGTTTAATAACTATGAACTAAGCAAATACTCCAAAGTAAGGATCAGCAGTTTTATGAATGCAACTATATATTCAGTAGACAAGGATTCATTTTAGATATATCAGTATTTATATAAACTTGCGTGCTTATTCTAAATTACAGAACAAATTGCCCATTTGCACTGACCATTTGCACTGCCCAAGTACCAGTTTGTTTGCTCCAATTATAGTAAGAAAGAGGAGGAACAAAGCCTGCCTCACAAAGGCTTTTTTTTTTTTTTTTTTTTTTTTTTTTTAATTCATATGCGACCACTCAGGGCCCAGACCTGGAGTCCTAGCAGGAGTAAGCCTTGCAGAAAGGCACAGGAGCTGAATTCAGTGATGGCCTTGCCTGAACTAGGAAAAAGACATGAAACCCCCCAGAGAAGGTACTCAGACCCAGAGAGGCACGACTGAGAGGAAGGAGAGGGAAGAATAAAAGCTGCAATTTTGTAAAGTAAGCTCTACAAAGTACATTTTCACTAAGGATTGTGCATAGAAGGGAAAAATACTTACTGGATGGTCAGCATCCAAATCGGACCCGTACATCAGCACTCGGTTTGCACACTTATCCAAATCTGAGATCTTCTTTGGAAACCAGGGAACATTCTCCATGTCTAGGGAACGCATGGAATCCATGAAGTTATTAATAACACCAAGCATGCTGAGGGAGGAAACGCTACTTTCAAGTATGGCTATGGTGGTTACAAGTGAAATCTATAAATTAAAAGGCTCATGAATAAGACAAGGGAGCCCACTGCCTATCTGACACCAGCCTACAGCTCACACTTCCTCCTCTGTCACTGCCACAGTCTGCCTACAGAGCACAGCCAGCTCCAGAGTGTCCAGGGGAGGAAACAGTTAATACGGGTTTTCTGTGGCCCCTACTGTCATTACTGTTAGAGTAGTATCTAGAGGCTCTCACTGAGACAAGGCTTCTTTGTGCATAGTGCTGTGCGACGCTTCTCAGGTACTAAGTGTGCAAAGGAGCAGAGAAGTGGTTTGCCTGTGGTCCCTGCAGAGTGGGAGCAGGTTTGGAGTCCTCTCATCCTGCTTTACTGACTGTAGGAAAAAAACGTTGCTCTGTGGTTATATACCTCAGAAGCAGCCAGCTTTGCCGAGAGGTTTGGAAGGAAGAAGAAGAGAAGGAGGCAATTTCAGCCCTGCAGCTTTAGAGAGATGCTTCATTACGGTTTTGCTACTATTTTTTTTTCTTTTTTTTTTTTTTTAAGCCCAACAGAGTTTATAACCAGCTCTTGGCAGAGTGGTTAATATACTGTGTTTCTGCCCCAACGCTCTTCAGTATTCTTAAAAAAGACAGAGGGAGTGTTTAGATTGAAATTCCCCTTACTTAGGGCTAAAGTAAGCCGTTTTTATCCGAGACACCAGATCTCACCTTCCCCCACCTACCAGCCCGTGCCAAGCACAGTGGCTGAGAAATACATGGGGCTGACTTCCTGCTGCCCTGAACTGTAGGCATCTCTTTAACTAGGAGCAAAGGTAAACGGGATCTGAAGCATCCTAAAGTTAAAGGCATCTCCTTCACACTAATATAACTAACCAGTTATGATGAAGAGCCGTTAAAAAATAAAAAAACTTAAATCAAGAAATAAATGAGGAAATTGCAGAATCCATCTCCCACTCTCTCCAGTGTCTGAACTTGAACTGGTATCTGTCAGCATTACACCTCTGTCATCATGGTGTACAGTCCCTAGCCAAGCCTTGCATTCAGACTTTGCCTACATGCTGGCCTGCCCTGGCCTGCGCGGGTGCAGGGACGCCCACTGATGCCAGCTGTGCCTCAATGAGAAGGGATGGGAGCACAGGTAACGGACACGCAATTTGCATCAGCCTAAACAGCCTGTAGCCCGAGGTGACACCAGCCAACGCAGCCCTGCTCATATCAACCAAATTACACTCATTCACAAGACGGAAGCATAAACCTGGTAGCTACTGATTGAAAACGCTACACAAATGCAGACGTGGACGCCGTAAAAAGATTTCAAACCAACACGTTGAAAAGTGCATTTTCATCAGAACTGCCTGTTGTACTTACCATCTTCCTGGACATTGAAATGCTCTGTCGGGTTCATAGAGACAACGTTGACATGGGATTTCAGGAGCTGGAAGATCTCATTCAGTTGTTCCCTGTTACTGTCACAGTCCACAAAGATGTCAAACTCAGAATTTCGTCTCTTGGACTTGCGTGACTCAATGTGAACCAGATTTACATGCTTCTCCTGTTTTGTAAGAAGTAATGTTTTCAAACAGATTGACTACAAACAATTTACTAAAAACTAAAATTTGTTTTTCAAATGCATATTCTACTGCCATGGACTATTCACCACCTTTGTGACGCTATTTTAGTTAATTTGATCTCTTGGTAGCAGTTTGCTTATTGGAGGATGGGGGATGGTTTGATTTTAAAAAGCCTCCCATGCAGAAGAAAATGAAAAACATCCTGTGTTTTTTCAATTTCACTTACATTCAGGAAGCACAGAAAGACACAGTCAGGAGGTTTAAATTCATAGACCTTTTTCTTTCATCCCTCCCATAGGAAGCTGATTAGCAACTGGGGCTGGGGAAATTCACCAAAATGCCAATCAAGTCACCATATAATTATCTCACAAGCAAGCAAAGGATTTAAAAGCAGTAGTTTTCAGGGCATAAATTTCACTTTTATCTGAAAAATAATTTAATCATATGTCTTATATCAAGAACAAAAAGAAAACCCCAGGCTAAGACATGCAGGGCCAGATGGCACAGCACAGCGGCACTGCGCATATTCCTCACGCAATACCTGCCCAGCCACTGAAGGAGGGCTGTTGTGCAATCGCAGTTCCTCTGTCACCCTCAGTCCGGCTAGGCAGGGTGACAAGGGCACTGGACTCAACCCAATGCAGGTCAGCACCCCAAGTGTCTACCTGCCATCAGCCCGAGCTTCAGACCCACCCCTTATATGCAGTAGAAACAATGAGTGCCAATCCTCTTTTCGTGAGGGGAAAAGACAAAACTCTCTCAGTCTTTAGTAGGCATAGATGCTACATTTTGTGAAGATTTTTAGCCAGCCAGGATCTAATTTCTGAGGCATAAATTTGCCTTTCTTGCTAACTTTGGGTGCAAAGTGGGAGCCAGGTTAGGAATCTCATCCTTAATAAATGGATGTAAATAATTCTAGTGTGTTCCAAAACTATCCTTACAATTTAAAAATACAGAGCTGCTGTAGCAATGTGATTATTACATACCTGAAAGAGTTTTAATGCTTTTACAAGTCCTCCAACTTCATTCTTCAAGGAAAAAATGATGGCTGTTCTTCCTCTTTCAGATGTATGGTCTTCATTCTCTTTATTATCGTCAATCATCATGTAATTTGACTTATTTAACTAAATGCAAACAAACAAAATTTTTTTTTTAATTACTAGTAGTGCAAAAAGTGTAAAGCTTTACATTTCAGTTTCTCTTGGGGTAATATTGTGTTTTGATTGATCAACCACAAAAGGAAAGGTACCAATTAAATCATTACACAATAATGGGCATCAAGTTAGGCACACACAGAATCTGTGAGAGCGGAGGGTGAAATCCTGAGATTTCTTTTTTTCAGTTGAGTGATTTTATAGACATCTTTAGTCATTCCCTAGGATGCAGAAAATGTTTTCAAAGTACAGTTTATAATTAGCATTGGCATTTCATGGAGGTGGCTATAAGAAGTCAGCAGAAATAATAAGTTGAACAAAATACTTGTTAGCAAATTCAATGAACACTGGTAAAGGGAATAATCCAAAACCTGCTAGATATAGGTAGGAAAAGATGGATCAGGATTTAGTAGATCAGAACTGAATAATCATTGCCTTTGTCTCGCTCCATGACTGTAAAGCGCTGCTTTTGCAGAGAAAGGAGACAAAACCTAAGGAGTTAAAACATTGTGCTGACCAGAATCTGTTGACTACAGACAGTCCCACTCTGATCAACCACAACCAAACTATTCTGCCTGTTGGGTCCCCTAATTCACATGTCAAACCCTTATCATAATCACCCAAATCACACACTAAAAATTTTCACACATCCAACACTGTAGGACCATGTGGTTTTGTACATTACTAGTGATCACACTCCTGACTCTGTCGAAATCATCACAGATCACAGATCACATTCTTAGCTACATGTAGCCAGGCCATAAATAGAGACATCATAGAAACAATTAAGAATGTGGCATATGCAAAGTAAAGAAAAAATACAAGGCTTAGAAGCAGAGGCTGTGTCTCATATGTCTTCAAACCTTGCAAAAGTAATCAAAAAATGTGAGGTTTCTGAAGGAGCCAGTGAGAAAAAGGAGGGGAACAATGAAGACATATTATTGCTATTTGGAATTATTTTTTTATTTGGCACAGCTTTTAAAGATACAACTATCTGGTGCCATTTTTGGGAATGGAAAGAGCAAAAAATTAAAATGCAATCAAAATGCAGCAGTTCCATTGATTCCCTTCTATAGACTCTCCAACTTTAACCTCTTTAAAATGTATAATGCTGAACAGCTAAGTATTTCTATCTATAATAGGTAAGTTTAAAAATAAAAACCAGATTTTTATCTTTTATCAAAATGTTTCCATTTAACTTTCAGATTAAGAAGGTAATCTAACAAAATAATTAAATTTGTTTCATTTTCAATTGAGCAGTTTACAACAAGGCACATATTTGATGCTTTTCTGAGAAAGTTTTCAAGCAGATTACTAGATGCAAGCTCTTTGGGGTACAGAGATGGTACCTCATGGAAGAGGTCTTGCTCCAAGCCCACTGATGCTATTGGAAGTACCTGGATTTCTGACTGGGTCCTCACCCCTAATGAGTTGTCAACTATACAATGAGCCTGGATGACAGTGTCAGTCCATCACACTGTTTCTGACCCAGCAAAGCACTGCTCTCCATGAACCTGAGCGCAGACATCAAACTGGGGCCCAATCCAGGTTCTGCTGAGTGGCTTGCAGGTTTCACAGCTCACTTCAGTGAGCATCAGATCAGGATCACAAGAGCCAGGGACAGACAATGAGCAAGGGTATTCCAAGCAGAAAGAAAAAGCTAGTAACTCCACAATTACAGATAGGTTATTGGTTTTCTCAAGTGCAGAGATCGCCATTTGTGGGAGTCAAATCCCACTCAGATGGTACTGCTGTAGAAGAAGCTGAATGCAAAAAAGTCTCCATTACAAATAGAGTAAGATGGTGGTCTTTGAAGGCAAAAACTATTGGGCTGTTTTATACATACAGCTTATATGCAGCCTGTTGGCTTGATTCCACATTCAGGATCATTGACTTAAGACAAGATCAGCTTACGAGATTTGGCATAGTTGCATGCCATATTATAAGGTGCACAGCTAGGACAAGCTACATGCATTGAAGACTAATGTTCTGGTTTTGTATTTTGCTCATTCAACCAACATTGCATTTAGGATCAGGTGACAACATTTATAAAGTAAGACATTTAAGAGACCAGCGAAGAAAATACAACAAAATGCAGTGTGTTCTTACACTAAGTTCTAAAAATTACCTCTAATTTAGGAATTTGAAAAAGTTGCAGGAGAGAAGTTCAGATGCCTGCAATGCCAAACGCACACCACTTACATCTCTAACCCTAAACCAACATTAATCTTTTGCTTTCAATTAAAAAAGGAACTGAAAACAGGTCTGTATTAATGCAGCAACCGTTTCGGCGCAAGGTAACCAGAAAAAACGGTAACGCAAAAACAATTCCCCTCCTCCAACAGCCGCACCTTCATTTTCATTTTATTCTGCATCAGTAACTCAGCTCTAATCAAATCTGACACTTTTCCTTTGCATGGTAACACATTTAAGCTTTTTGGAGGATGCGGATGAGAATATTGCATTGATGCTTGTTATTAATGATGCAAATCATTAATTGATTTGCCATCAACCTGACTCAAGTCTTAATGGTAATACACAAACACCGGGATACTCTAAAGCCCATATTTAGATAGGTATCTAGATGTCTCCTGATTAAAGATCAGTCATTTTGGAGCCCATAGCAATTACCTTCCCTTTTTCCTGCTCCCTAAAGAATATTCTCTGAGACAGGTATTTGAGAGTGCGTATTTTGTGCTTTAATTCTTTATGTTAATGGATAGCCAAGATTTAAAATTATCCAAACATAGTCATCTAAAGGAAATTACATTTTAGAACCATACATTGAAGACCAAAAAATCTTTTAAAAAATGTGTTTAATACAGATTGCCATTAATTGTACTTGATAAAAAGTCTCAACGGGCATTTTATATCCTCCTCCCTCTTTAAGTAGCTGCTTACTTCCTTGCTGTCCTTTTGACACACTTCTTAGCAGGGAAGGATGAAGACTTGATCTTAAGAATGACCGCGACTAGATGTCACACTATGGGGAAATTTTTCAGCCACGCCAAAGATCTTCCTTAAAGTTAGTTCTCAGACACTAAACTGAAAGGTGTGTTGAACAATGTTTTTGGCTTCCAAACATCTGAGGGATACGGCGAAACAATCTTTTGTGAAACTTTGCTCTACTACAGTCAGCGTTGTGTTTTCACAGGAATTTTACTGACTTTATAAACCGCACGGTATCACTAACCGCGGCCAACACATAAGCACTGATTTTATCTGATTTTCTCTGATGGACTGAGCATATTCCCACTGTAACATGAAATAACCCAGGAGTGGACTTTTCTAGGCTATATCACACCCTCTGCCTCCTAAGCAACGATGCACCAGAAGTTATTTTTGTTCTACCTTAATTTCATTTGCTCGCATCTGAATTTTACCACTTTTCACTCACACA